TAAAATCCTAGGTAAAATCGATCCACTTTGCGTTAATTAAAACTGCTTGGTTGTGTATGTTTATTACGCGTTGTGTTGATTTCGTTTTATTCCAAGCAGTCACAAAAACTTTGAAGCACTGCCAAAAGCCAAATGAAACAAAACCCTTTTCATTGTGTTTATTCTTTGCTATTTAAACATCCCAAACTCACACATTTAGTAACTATCTGAAGGGAGATAGCGAGAAATGTAAAGCAGCGCCAAGTACCAGCTACTTTTACGTTGGCTATAAAATTGAGCAATTACGTTTTTCTTAACATCTCTACAATCTGCGCAATAGTAGCGAATAGCTTGTTCTCGACAGTTTATTCACCATTTCACCTTAAACGCACACCTTTTTTCGGGAATCATTATTATCACAATCCTTTATAGAATGGTAGAGTCCACTTTTATTTTTATTTTGTGAAATGCGTGCTCGCAAGTAATAACTCATGCATTTGCAATAATCAATAATCAAAATGTTTCCTTACAAACTATAAAATTGAAGTGTGAAGTGTCTACTTGCCAGCGGGACAGACTGATCCCTTAAAGCTTTTTTAAAGTTTGATTGATAGGAAAGTGCTGGAAAGTCATAGGAAATTTTTCTGCAAATTTTTGCATATCTGTCAATTAGCGGGATATTTGTCAATTAGTGCTAATTAAACAATCTATCTGTCAATAGACAACGCACAAGTGTGGTAAATGCCAATCTATCTTGTACCCGTACAAGATTTTACATACAGGGAATATTTTTTCAATATTCTAGCACAGATACCACCTGCACATTCTACCCAAAAGCTTTTCAGCCCTCTCTTTCATCTCTAATATTATGCATACCAAATTTGGTTCCAATGGATTTAGCCGTTGAGCCGGAACTGAGAGTTTCACACACATGCGCGATTCGGCCCAAAAGCTTTTCAGCTCTTCCTTTAATGCCTAAGAATATGTGTACCTACCAGATTCGGTTCCAATCGGTTCAACCGTTTAGCCGGAAATGAAAGTACAGACGGACCGATAGACAGACCGACAGACCTACATCGTCGAGATTTTGTTTGACTCGGATTCCTGGGCGCTTCAAAACGTGCATTTCCTAGTGCATTTCCGTCAAAAAGCGGGGGGTCATTTGTCTCTTTGTAGAAACTGCTTCTAACACAGGTAGCTAAAATGGGCTACTACTATTAAGACTTTAGGCCATCGTGGCTTTGGCAGGTAACTGACGTGTAACAGGTATCAAACGTGTATTACGGCAAATTATAGAGCGTAATTTTCTTATATTTTTCTTCAGAATAAGGTATCATTTTCCTAAGCGGCTTTTTTGGTACTTACCTTCTAAACAACCTTTTTGAGTTGTTCGGAAAAGTGGGTCTTTTGATCCCTTCCATCGACTGATTTGTAACGCACTGTATAATAAATACTAAGTTTATACCATATGTTTGTTATAACCAATTTGATCTTTTGTGCTAAATGTCTGTTCTAATTAAAAACTGAACTATTTTAGGGTAGTTCTAGGGGAATTTCTTAGAAAATAGAGGTAAGAGGGTGGAAAGGTTAAGGTGAGAGGTGTACGGGTATGGGTTTTGGATCGACGATCAAAGATTACAAAATGCTTTATTTCCACTCCACAACAATTAGATGTAATTCCCAAAAAAACCTAACTAACACCAATACTTAAATACAGGGGACAATTTAAAAGCGAACCACTTACCTAACACCAGCCTTTTCACTTCAATTATATAATTATAAAAATCTGGTAAAATTTGGCCTAATGGCTGTTACAAGTCTGAATAGGAAATACCGCTTAATCGCATTACCTTGCCTGCGCAATACGTAAGTTTGATATCCAACTTTAAAGTATGAAAAATTGGCGGTACTATCAGCAATTGAATAAGGCGCCAAATTTGAATTAATAAAATTGAAATTGTTAGTTAAGTCTGGTTTCGGTAATTGTGCTACAGAGGATGAGAGGATGAAAGGATGCGAGGATGACAGGATGAGATAAGAGGATAAGCGAGTGAAGGAGGCACCGAGTAAGCGAGTAAAGTGAGAGAGTAAGAATAGAGCAAAACGCGATCAGGAAGCGAGTAAAGGAGGCAGCAAGTAAGCGAGAAGCGAGTAAAGTGAAAGAGTGAGAGAGCGAGAGAGTAAGAAGGGAGTAATAAGAGAGTAAGAATAGAGCAAAAGGCGATCAAGAAGCGAGTAAGTAAGACATAGTAACATCTGGTATATAGGTCAACTGTGCAAAGTTTGAACCGAATAGGTTCAAGCGTTTGGCAGAGACAGAAAAGCCGACATCAAGGAGTCATTGGATTTGACCCATTTTCAATAGGCTTATTACTTGTGGTATATATGTCAACTATGCAAAGTTTGAACCAAATCGGTCCAAGCGTTTGACAGTTATCGTGTTCACGGACGGACGGACGGACGGACGGACACCATCGTCTCCCCTATAAAACTTGCATCATTCTGCTCTGCCGCTTAATAATCTAAATATGCTCATGCGAACACACACGCATCTAATGACGTCAATGGTTGACAAATTTGAATTACCGGTACCATGATATTACCTTATATCATGCCATGATGACAAATTCACTAATAAATTTGTGTGTCATTCTGTTTGAAAGTTAACGATATATGGTTTATTGTAGTGTAGGGCCAATAACTGAAGGTATAACTCAAATAGAAAGAGCTCTCTTATTTCAAGACTTAAAATCTGTTGTCCGTGAGCAACAGGTGCGTGTTTGCTCCGCGACGGACCTATGGGGGGGCAAGGGGGGCAGGCTGCCCCTCCAATACTTAACTAGTTGGTAATTTTGACAAGAGTTGGTAATTTTCATTACCAGTGGCGATTGCCGCGAAAGTAGGTAAATCGTAAATGTAATAAATCGACTATTGAAGGAATGAGGAATGACAACGAAAAGGTTTTAATAAAAACCAGGTGCCAAATTCTTGACAGAACTGCTTTCTGGTTCTAGGAAGCTAAAAATATGCTTCTATCTATTTATAATAAGAATTAGATATACTGGACATGAATGTTTATTTTTTAAAGGAACCCCGAGTGGAATCCACAATCTGATAAGAACTCAAATAACACAGAACACTTCCCAGTGCATACTGCTGACATGACTTAACATTGCACAGGAAAAGTTAATATAACCTATTTACTACAGAGGTGCAGGTACTATATATGACAAGATTATATACTTAATAGTTAATAGATAGTACCTGTTTGAGTTGGAAATTTTTACAGTTGAGTTGGCAAAATGTCATGTCTGCCCCCCCCCCCCCAATTTTTTTGTCTAGGTCCGTCCCTGTGTTTGCTACATATGAGTTGTTTACACGGGGACAGTCGAACTAAATTTTAACCAAATTTTAAGTCACTTGAACCATTTGAACAGCGCGAATGTGGCAAGTAACAAGTGATGGAACAAGTAAAAATTTAGTACACTTGGATAGAATTTTTTCTATTTTTTCGAGCAAGTTGCCGCATATGTATTGGTTTTCTTGACTCGTCTGAACACACAAATAAGTAATAATATAAGTTAATCGGTTGGTATGTGGCATCATTGTTTAAATTAAAGTATTTAAACAATGGTGGTATGTAGGTAGTTGAATTGTGTATTGTAGGTATTAGTAGATTTGATACTAGTTTTGAAAATGACATGAAAGTGGATAGAAGATACCACAGTAAAGTTTGTGTCGCAGTATATAATAATAAGACGAATAATAATATTGCCTTTATTTAACAAAAAAAAAGTAAATGAACAAAAGAAAAAGTTAGTGCAAGGCGAAGTTCAGATTGACAATAAGATAACGCCATCTGTTCTTCCACTTAATGTACCTTGCTATTTTGAATTTCGATCTACGAAAAAAGAAAAAAATTACATTGTAAAAATAAATATAGAGTATGCCAAAAAAAGAGATAAATATACATTGCATCCAATTAGGTGTACTAATCTTCCTAAATATTTAGAAATCTAGAAATGGAGCACTTACTTAACCTGTGTTTGTTTGAACCCTCTTTGTGAATAGTGGATTTGAATGTCTTTGGAATATTAAACATTCAGAATATAAGAATAAACAATGTCAATTAATCTTTGTTCTCCTGAAGTTTTCGTGTTTATTTTTTCTTCGCATATATCTTCTTTTTTTTTGACAGGTGGGGAAATGCATTACGCACACTCCGGCTGGAAATCCGGAGTAGTGTGGGACTCCCCTAGAACTTGAACTTTATAGTAAATATACAAAACAAACAAATAAACCAGATCACATCAATAGACAAACAACCATAATATAGATATTAAAATTTTAACAAGACATTCATTATTATTACTACCATCACCATTACCACCATTTTCATTATTTTTATTTTTGGCGATTCTCTATAGTTTATCAAGCATTCCAATGCACCGCATGTAGGTAATTGTCCTCTCACACTCTTCCTTTCCCTTAAAATTTTCGGCCCAGTTCCTGTTAATCTGAAAGGTGGTACATTTTTTCTAATATAATGTTTAGAATATCGCGTAATATACATTATTAAACTGCTGCCTTAGATTCATTTCGTCGATTTGCATTTTTGAAAATTTTAGAACTTACCAACTTTGAACTTAAAGCAGTGCGAACAGCACTTGCAGAAAAAGCGGTAACTTAAAACTTAGTTACCACTTACCTACTGTCCTCGTGTAAACAAGCCAATAGACATATGAGTATTCATATGTCTATGGTTTATTATCAACAACGTAAGTTTTAAATCGATCATTGACGCCGCCAAAATTTAAAGTTGTCAACCGATGTCAGGATGCGTAAACAAATTTTAAATTCGTTCGCCAGTTGAGCATATCTAGTTATGAACCTACAAAATGGTTTGTCCTGTGCACCCTGTAGAATAAAACACTTTTCATAACATGTCACTCTGTATAACCTTACCGCCATCTGGCTGAAAACAATAAAGCGTGCACTTTGCAGTTGACAACTGATAAATGACAATTTATATTTGACATTTTACATAATCAATCAATCCAACGTGATCGGAGCAGAATCACATTGGAAGGAACTTGTATACTTTCTAGAATTTTCTGGAGTGCTGGATATAACTTTAAGCAAACAATTTATTAATTCCTAGCTCCATTATTGTACTCAACAAATGTGCTGATACTGTAACTGTACTATATCTACCTATCTACCTGCAATTATTATAATTTTATTTTACTAAAGCATGTAAGTTGAATAACAAGGCAGTAATGTTTAGTCGCTAATTTGTGATTATGAACTTAACCCTTCAACTTGCTTTCAGATTTACCATGGCTAAATGGGGCGAAGGAGATCCCCGATGGATAGTCGAAGAAAGACCTGATGCTACCAATGTAAACAACTGGCACTGGACCGAAAGAGATGCTAGTTCCTGGTCAAAAGATAAACTTAAGCAATTATTTATTGGCGCTGAAGTAAAGTCGAATGGAGCGAGTATTAAAGTTTACGAAATTGAGAAATGTGAGGGCGAGGCGTCTGCTAACAATAGGAAAGGAAAGTTAATTTTCTTTTATGAATGGGCTCTTGTACTGAAATGGAAGGGCACAATTGATAATAATGATGAAGTATACGAAGGAAGTGTAACTATTCCAAATCTTTCTGAAGAAAATGAGGTTGACGAAATAGACGTAAGTCGCTAAAATTTTCCAGCCGACTGAAATGTCCCTTAATTAACTTCTAGATTCAAGTTTCAATAAAAGACAACTTGATTGAAGCTGAGCCCCTGAAGGAAATTATGAATAAGGAAGGGAAACCAATTATACGAGACTTATTAAATGGTTACGTAAAGAATTTACACCTTGAGTTCTCGAAAGGTATGATTCTCCCTCCAAAAGAAGGGGGGACTGGAGATAAAATTAAAAATTTATCAAGTGGGTTTAATAAGAAAGTAAGCATGCAGCCTGTTGTGTCTAATTCGGAATCGAAAAGTAAAATATCAGACCTCACCACAATATCTGTAACTGAGAAGTTTCAATGTAGAGCGAGAGATTTGTATGATGCCTTAACGAGGATAGAAATGGTTACTGCATTTACAAGAGGTCAAGTTAAGCTAGAACTTGTACCAGGTGGATCATTCGAATTGTTCGGTGGTAACATAAGTGGCAATTTCGTTGAATTGATTCCAAATGAAAAAATTGTGCAGAAATGGAGATGCAAACAATGGCCTTCTGAACATTTTTCTACTGTTACCATTAAGTTAGACCAGAAAAGTGACCACACTGTTTTACATGTGGTACAAACCGACGTTCCTAGATCTGAAGCTGATGCTACCAAACAAAATTGGGAGCGGTATTACTGGAATTCGATCAAACAAACTTTTGGATTTGGAGCTCTTCTACATTAGCTTTATTTAGCAAATCATCGATTAGACAAAAAATAATTTATTCTCCAATTTTGGATTAAGTTTTAATTGAAAACCAGTTGTGATATTACCATTTATCGAAATTAGCTTTTTGCAACACCTAGCTTAATGAACATTGTGCACACTTTTAAATGCAACCATTGTCAGTAATTAGACCTAATATTCGTCCATTATGTCCTCTGTAATTCAGCTGAAACATTAAAAAATAATTGAATCGTTTTACTTTATTTACTACACATCACGTTGTGAGCTCCGTGCCTATATGGTAACAATCCATTCAATGGTAGTTTAGTTAGTTTACCACTTTCTCCCATCTCAAAGATGGGAGAAAGTGGTAGTTGTTGCTTTGGTTTTTTGGCTACTGAATATAATAATTTTTTATTGCAGTAATTTTTATCAAAAACTTATGGCAAGGTGTAGCGTTAAATTAAAATAACTGGATATTAACTATTATATTTTGCTTTGTTAGTATTTGTCCAGTTACCTTATCGACTAAAAGGGGAGGATCCTTTTTTGCAGTTTGAAATACCACATTTTACGAAACTATGTTTTTAGGATGCGCTTGAATAGAACTAACTTTGCTTAAATCTAAGTAGTTTCTAAAATACCGATACTGCAATACTGTTTTAACTTTAAAAACTCTCAGTAAAAACTAATACTTAAATATTATTCTAAAAGGTGAAAAATGATAAACCAAAACATTCTGTTGAAAAGAAGAAACAAAGAACACAGTAGTAATTGAAAACCACTAATAAACAAATTAACTTTTGAGGTAAATTTCGAAAAATGAAAGGAAATTTTTTTGGGAAGACCCAGGATGGTATGTAGCTATGTAGTCTATATGTGTGATCAACGTGGCGAAAAAAAACATTGCTGAACTTGGAAGAGGGAAATGCACAAATAAGTCTATGAATATATAAAGACTACCTATATATAAGTAAACATATTTTTAACAAGTTAAAAAGTAATCGTAAACGATTTACATAAAGCGCATTTCCACTTGCATTCATTTCCTATTTGTAAAATGCAACTTTTGTTAAAATTGTAAAAATCCGGCCACAAATATGAAAGATAGCGTTACACATGTGCAATCCATTTTTGACGTGCTACTTCAATTTCAGTTTATAAGAAGAGTTTCATTTCAATGCTTTTCTACATAAGAAAGTTGGAACTGCGCATGCGCAAACCTAAATTTTGAAGCTAAAGTTAGATTTTCCTTTGTTCCAAGTGGCTATATGTATCAAATTTCATTTAAATGCTTTCATAAATAAAAAAGTTGACACTGCGCATCCGCAAAACCAAATTTTGAAACTGGCGTAAACATTTGCTTTTTCGTACTTCCAAGACTAAAGTGACAACTTCACTCCATTATGACAAATACCTACTGAAGTGTCACTTTTTGTCCCGCCGGGATTAAATTTGGACGAACATCCCGGAAGGATGAAATTATTAACAAGCAATTTCAGTAGGTTGTTCCACAATTTGTATGCGGCACTACTTCTTAAACGCATCGTACTGCTGCTCATATAGTTTTTTGGATTTCGGTGGTATCAATTCTTTACCTAGTTTGGCTACTTTTTATCAATATCAAATGCACTTTTGTCACCCACCACCAAAATTATGACACTAGCAATGACAGTTTCCAAATTATTTTTGTTACCATAGCATAGGGATTGTCGTACCAACGCAACGTGCCTATGGTAACTTGTTAAGCAGCGATGTTTTGAAAGAACGCGTTCTCTAACTCAATACATATTAAGTGTTTCAGTTTCGGAAGTACGAAAAATATCGTATATACCTTGCGACTGAAGTAGTGGTCTTAATCCCTCAGGTAAATTATGGCCCTCCCTTCGGTCGGGCCATAAACTTTACCTTCGAGATTAAAAGTACTACTTCAGTCCCTCGGTATATAATATACTATTATTTCAAGTGGCTATTTATCAAATTTCATTTAAATCCCTCCATAAATAAGAAAGTTGGCACTGCGCATGCGCAAAACCAAATTTTGACACTGACGTTAAATTTGCATTTATTCCAAGTGGCTATGTATCAAATTTCATTTAAATACTTTTATAATTAAAAAAGTTTGCAATTCGGTTTATAAATGGTCGAGATGCGAAAAGGGCACTGTGAATTTTGAATGGATTCGACTCAACTTTTGGCATTGCTCATTGTATGGCTAAAGCTATGCCCATATTGAATTTCATGCAATTCAGTTCATAACTAACAGAGATGTAAAAGCGATCGGACATTTCTAAACAAACTTATCGTTCACACGGACAGGTAGAGGGACAGACAGACAAAGGAACAAACGGACAGACCAACAGGCAGACGACAGACAGCAATGCAAAATTATATACGATCTCTAGCATCGTTAATAAACGGCAAAAGTGTAAAATTATGGAACATGTAAAAAAACGGTTTTTTGTTTTTTTACAATAACTTTTTTTGTAAGCGGTACAGAAAAAATTCCTTCCTTGGTATTGTACAAGACTCGACACCATAACGAACCAAATAGCGAAAAAAGTAGAACAATAGCTCTTAAGATAAAAAACTAGTAGTGTCTCAAAACGAGCGGACGGACGGACGGACAAAGTGGCCACAATAGCGCATTTTTTTATTGTGGAAATGCGCTAAAAAGTATAATGCGGTATGTCAAACGTCATACGTCCAAGGCTTTCTACAGTGGCTGCAGATTAAAAGAGCAGTTCACGCGTGTCCTTGCAACTCCACATGGTCCCACAAGTCCCTAATTCTTGCAATCACATGAAATCATTCACAAGTGATGATGCTTTTGTTGACTTGAGTTCATCATCTTGAGGCTGAGGCTTTGTGATGTGGACTCCAGAGCTATATCAACAGCAGTACGAGCTCCGTTTTTTGTGGAAAGTTGGTTTCACTGCAACCCTCACCAGCGCCCGCACTTCCACCATACAGAGCAATCCGCCGCTGTATTGCTATGCGTTTAGATATAAATATATGGCATTGAAAAGTGGCAAGTATACTTAGTTTCGAACATGGAGAACACTTTCATCTTGCCTTCCCTCATACCTGAAGAAAGCGATTAAATATAGGTATGTGCCATATACATTTTTCAATTAAATCTATTCTATTCACAATGATGGGTTCCCGACTATATGTACACACACCAAAAAGGCTCTTTTTGTGTCTATACCCGACCCTTAACTCTTTCCATCTGGGTTTAACGAGTCTGTTCCTCTCAATATTGGACAGCATGCACCCTGTTTAGCTCCGCTTTCCGCGGTTCCAAAACTGTTGGAAGGAGCTGATGTAGTTTCATCTGCCAGACCATAGAACCTGCATTTGGGCTCCCCTACAAGCCTAACCTGGTGCATATATGATTAATAGTTGACCATATCTATATCAGTGACCCGTGGGAACCCCGATGATCTGCCTAATCGGGCCTCTATTCGGTTTTGGAAACTTTTATGAACCCCTATTTGCGCAGGGGTCTTGATAAGAAAAGGCTCCATCTGTGGCTATCTGAGTTAAATTGTTCGTTGTCATTGAGCCCGCAGTTTTTAAATCCTGCCATTGACAACGGAGGGGGTAATCCCTAGCTCGCCAGACCAAGGCCTATACTACCTTTTCGAGTGAACTCGTTCGCCTTTTCGTTGCTCGCCCTATATTCCACATTGCATATATACGTACCTATATAGGTATACTTACGGAGGTGTAGTATGACTAACATCTCTGTCTGCAACACGATGCTATGCTGCGCAAAGGAGAAGCTAATATGTGAGGACTAGGGAATGCTAATACCCGGATCGCGGGATCCCGCAGTCCTTTTGTGGGATTAATCCCGTACGTAAATGGAGCAGGATCCCGCGGGATTTGGGGGATTGCAGAATTTATCGACCAAGCTTACCGCATCATACATTAACAATGCGAATTTGATTACTTCGAACATTTTTGTTGTTGCAGTTCATGCAATAATTACGCGCAAACCTGTATCTATTATTAACTTTGTTAAACAGCGAGATGAGTACGCAAATCAGACTTATTTATACTGTTTTAAAACGCAGGAACTGTTATTCTTGTAGACAATATGTCGGACCCGTCGATTGTTTATAAAAGAATTTAGTAGGTAGTAAAGGGGCTGTATGGAAATATTGCAGCGAATTTTCTAGCAATCCAGATAGACATGGAGGGGCCATAAAAGATTACGCACCGGCGCGGCGACAAGAAAAGACGGCAGTTGATGTGTTGCATTGTTTCCGCGAAATAAAATGTGTTTTCTTGAGAATATTCCGTTAACTGCACAAAATTGCTTATTTCCGAACGTTTTTAAAATTTGACGGGATCCCGCAGGATTACTATCTAATGATCCCGCAAATCTTTATACATAAATGTTACCTATAGGGGAGGAAGAGGGGGTCCACTATTTAAACCGCCACACACCATAGACTTTCTATTGGTAATGGTATAGTTGAACCAATGAAAACTTATTAAGTAAACCAATAAGTAACAAATTACAGCTGTCAGTTAGTAAAATAATTATCATTAAAGGACAAACTATTAAAAAATTTGTCATAAGTTTATGACACAAACTTTCATTTATTTTATTATTAATCTACAGACAATTAGTTGAGTTACCTACAAAATTACTTAGAAAAAAAATTCTATCCAGTGTATAAAAAAGCTTTAAATTAACATAATGAATTATGTAAACATAAAATGAATAAATAGTTTATACAGTGCGTTTATCTTAAACTGCAACATACGATTTTGCATGCAAGTACACTAGCATTCGAATTACGTATTGTTTGTTTGGATTATGAAAATAATTTAAATACAAAGTGGAAGTACTTGCGCGATTATGCTTCTCTTCAGTTACAAATATTGACTAACCTAACATTTGAGCAAAAATATCCTTGCATTTATAGGTTAGGAATTCGTGATCATAAAACTTTTATGTTCAGTGTTCACGATTTTAGCAATCATGATCATAAGATCACACCTCGAAAGAACGTGATTTGACAATCCAAACACGTTTGGATCACCGAAAGAAAGTGCCTACTAATTATCATAAATTTTCTTATTAAACTGTTTAATTGAAATTTATAATTGTTTGTTTTTCACAACCCTTATAAATATTTAAAAATCCATTTAGATTGTTTCAAATATAATATGTATTATTAATATTCCTTTAAACATCGTCTCGCAAAATGTGACAAGTTCGCTTCTTGCAATGTGTACAAACATGACGAGATGATGGCACGTTATGATAAGCATCAAGGCATCTCTCTTTATTTCTTAAGCCCATCACACAATGAAATAACAAATAAGGAATAAGAAATAACAATTTTCAATCTACTGATCTTTATGGATTTGCACACAACATTGAAATATGAAATAAGCCTAGCAAATAAGAAATAATAATTTCGTTCAGTCGAATTTTTATTCCTTATTCATATTGCGAACCAATGACATTAGAAGAGGCGCGCACGCGTATTCTCTATTTATTATTTTCTCTTTGTTAATCTAAAATAAAACAAGTACGTATGAGGTGTTGATTTGTGATGTTATGAACTTAGAATTATATTTGATAGTGGTGCAATTAGCCTGCTATTGCCTTACAATTAGCTGCCATTTTATTTATAATGACATAAATTCAAACGGCATGAGTGTTCTGATTGGCTTATAGTCTGTTGCTGTTTGTTTGTTGTGTTTTGCGTGTATGGCGTCACTATTTCTTATTCCATATTTCATATTTTTTATTTTTTTCATTGTGTGATGAGCTTTACTCTGAGGTCCAGTGTCCTACATAACCTGAAAATAATTAAAAGCTGGTCGAGTTGTGACTCGCACATTATCCAATGTTTTAAATGGAACATAGGAAAACACCATTGCATGTAATCGTATATGTTCCAATGTGAGATAAATGCACTGTATATATTCTGCATTACTTAAATTATTGAATAAAATTTCACGCTCTAATTGTATTCTTCCAATTCTAAAATGAACTCGAGTGCACTGTTGCATTTGTCCCAGCAAAAGCAAAATGCACCAGGCAAGTGTTTATGATTGGTCTATTTAGGAATTGAACGAACAGTTTTTAGTCAGTATCGAGTACATTAATATTGGTCAAACCAAACTTTTAATGTTCTTTCTTCTTTGGCTTTTTGGGATTTCTTGACCTTGATTTTGCCTTACACAGTGGACAAATTGGCGCATTTCGATGTATTTGTTGATGGCAACTCAAACATGATTTCATTGGTGGCGGTTGTTGCCTAATGAAAAAAATAATTATCAATATTAGGATCCGTCACCACAGTAAAAATACAAATTTTAGCGATTAAACGAAAACAAACAAAAGCACCTCAAGCTAACAAAATCCGACCTGAAGGTAGGCGTAGGTGGTCCTGGATGTGGAGGTTGGGCTAAGCTACTTGGACGCCCTGCCTCAGGTTTATTCGCTACCAGTCTTAAGGGATTGGGTGGTGGTAAAAATGTGGGTGGTAATGGAGGAGCTAAAGCGCTCATATGGTTGTCTGTTGGAGCTAAAGGACGTGTCCATTCATTACTTTTTGCAAAATTTTGAGAATTCGATTTGGTTGGCGAGAAAAATTGTGCAAATCGCCTGAAAGGTGTAACGTTACATTTCTCTAAATATATGGCAAATAACACATACTCGGGTGTAACTAACGTTCCCTCCTCTTCGTGAAGTTCGGGTAATCTATCCAAACCTAAACAATCTCGTCTTAACCGATCCACTTCCGATTTTAATGGAAGATACTCTTCATGAACTCTGGCAGCGGTGGCTAAAGATCGACCACGACTTTCTTCTGCATGTTTTATAACACCTTCCATCTGCATTTAAAATGTAAACACCAATCAAAATACTGTCGCAAATACTCACCGCATTTATGTCTGCATGAATCTGTCGTAATTCTTCGACATGCGACATTTTTTCTTGGAGCAGCAAATCCATCTCTTGTTTGTATTCTGATAGGCATTTTTCTTCTTGATCTAAAGCTTCCACCTCAAGAAGAATTCTAGTCTTGAGTTTTTCCAACTGAATAGTTTTCGCCCTAAAGTATTGATTTTAAAATGGTACATGTTATGCTGCTATGACGACTGATATACCTGATCTCTTTAATAGCTTCTAATTTAGCAAAAACTGTTCTTTCGTCTGTTGTTGCCATATTTATTATTTGAAACCATATATTTTATAATATATGTTTAAAACTTGTCATTTCAGTAACAACAAATTGGGGGTGTGTTGTGTCTAAAGAATCGTCTATGAAAGAGGCGAAAGAGCAGGATGTGTCTACACTACATTCCAAGTGTTATTTGAAAAAATGGAGTTACGGATATTTAAACATTTAAAAGTTGAGAGCTTTGAAAAAGTGACGTAGTCTCACTTTTTTAGACGGTTATGCATACCATAAGAAAATTCGATCATTCCTTAATAAAGCAGTGAAAACTATTTTGCAGTATCTCTCACCGTTTTCGAATAATAAATTTTTAAAATTACCCCTGCAAATTCAATTTTTGACATAAAAACTTGAATATCGACGAAGCCCTTGGAGCAAAGGGTCAAACTATGCGGTATCGTTGTACTCCAAATTCGACGTAGAATCCGAAAATATAGAAAAATAGGGGGTCCTTATTTAAAATACCAAAGTTGATGGCTACCTCCGGTATTTGCGGAAGTGGCGCCATCTTGAAAATATTTTAGTTCATTTCATCATGTGCCAAAACTCTTATCAGTTCAGTTTCATTTTCACCCTGTATAGGTTTCGGTTCCGCACTACCTAAGCAGAATTATTTTTTAAGCGTTCCCGTGCCGGTTCGCGTATTGGCATTCTGTATTATTATTCAGAGAAGCTCTGGTCTGATTCGCAGTATACTATGACTTCACCTTATGCGCAATTTAATAATACATTAAACATTATATACTGCGATTCAGAGCATCGATATGGTTTAAGTGTTTGTTTTATTACTAAAATCAGCTAACCACTTGTCGCACCATAAACTGTTAATATCTTCACCCTTTTTTTAAGTCGGAAGTTTCGCTTTAAATCCATATTCTACTAATTCCAAATATTCGATCATTGAAAACGTATTCTCGTTACACATTACAACCAATACCTCTTTGTAGTTCATTATAGTGCAGTTTGAGAACCGCAAAAATATACCTTTCTTGCAAAGGTAACAATAAAAAATACTTCTTGCAAATGTGTGACAATCAAAAAAGTTTAGAGATAACCAAACTGTTCTCAACCCGGACATGTAATTCCATAACCACTGCTAAAAAATCATGCTACAAACAAGCCCGCTTTGCGTAGAAAACTATGGCGGATTCTTAATTGAGGATCAATAAGCTCCTTGGCCTCATATACCTAAACACCGCCGATGGACATCTAGCCACACTGTAATAAATAAAATTGGGTGTTCGAAACATGAACGTATGATTGGTTGTATGTATAACTTTACCTTCCTTGAATTTCGTTTGGTGTTCACCGATCACACTGTATATTTCAGTACCAACATTTGAAAAAAAATAGTTTCATGTGACAAACCTGTGTTACTAAAATTGCATTATTTTTGTGCAGGAAATACTTGTATGTAGCCTTAGCAACGTGTTAAAATTAAAGCAGGAGTATGTACACTCTTGGGATCCATCGAAAATAAATGACCATGTTTTGAAATTTTGAATTTCGTTTAGGGTTTTTGTTATTGCAAGGTTATTTTAGTAACTTGTGCTTGTGTCAATTGTCATTCGCGGTTGTCGGCTATCAGTCAGCGCAATCTATCTTTTTCGGCTCCCTTCCCAGCTTTGATTACATGTTTTTTGTAATTATAGTCAATTAACTTAAACAATTTCAGTTAGTTGATTGCTAAAGGTTGATAGTTTAAATTGTGGTTGCTTGCGTTAAACTTTCTATCAAAATGTATCTCATTAAACATAGTTGCTTAGTAATACTTTTAGCTTTGATTGTTAAGATTGAGGGTAAGTGCTTGCTTTGTTAGTTTAGTAATAATAATTCTCATCAATTTCAGGTGAAGAACTTAAGGCAACGGTAACAACTCCAGACGGAAAAACTAGCATCACTTCTAGTTCTACACCTGCGAACACCTTGACGACCACAGTAACGGACAAATCCACCGATAAATCCACATCTTCAATTTCCCCCACAACACAGCAATCGACAACCACTGCTAGGGTTATTACAGGTATGAAAAATAATTTGTTTATATTGTCAATGTTTTTTATTTATTCATTCATTTTTTTGTATGTGATAAATTTCCCTTTGATCTTTGACATAGTTTCATTACGGCGTAGTAATTACCAATCATGATATTTAATCTATTTTCGATAATATCTCTATCTTAAAATGTGCTAGAAATGATAGTATGTGGTCAAGTGGTAGTTGCTCATCTTTCCGTGAATAGACTTGTTCTATAAATCTTGGAAAGTCTTAGAAAATTGTATTAGAAAGCTTAGAGTTCAGACACATTGTTTTTCGATTTTAAGTTGAGAATACTTACAGTTGAAACTGGAGGTGGGAGAACTTCCTCTGAGTGGCAAAGTGGTTGCCAGTATGCTGCGTGATTCATTCGATTTTAAGGGTGTCTCTGTTTGATATTTTTTGTAGCAAGTTTGAAGTCTTACATCCCTGCTTAGATATATAACTGATTAGTTGGCTAATGGTGTCTGGTGGTGGTCTGTAGGTACCTTCTGGGTTTTAGAATCCATGTGTGAACTGTGAAGATGATTAGATATGAAAAGGGTGCATAAAAAATGGCGAGGTCTCAATGTAATACTTATTACTCCCCCATCTTGTTTGGGGAGTCACTTAACTCCCTGACTGCCTCTCTCAGAATGCAATAGCGGCTGTCTTTCAAGACTGCCTCAAGTCCTACTCTTTAGTTTTAAACCAAATGGTTGTCCTTAGAACCTGATTCTGCTCATAAATATGACAGTGTACAACCAGATAAAAGTACTTGAAGTTGGTCTATCGCATGGTATAGAGAATGCCATACTTGTTTTATCCGCTTTCAGTCCAGTTCAGTCTTGAGTTCAGTAAAATGCTTAGATGCATTCTTTTCATACTTTGCTTACAGTATGTCCAACATGCAAGTTTCGGCCATAGGGAATACAACTTCCTACCTTCTTTCTTTCCGGTATTGTCTAATTTATCACAAGAAACTTCGTCTCCAGTTAGGTAATGATTTCCTTTTCCTTGAGAATACTATTGCGAGATCTTTTCCTGTATCTATAAAGGACAAGTCGAGGGACAAGTACAAAATACATACATTGGCCGAAAACAAATTTTCTTGAACAAAATATCGGCAGGTCATTTTTTAGGTGAAAAAAATAAGCTCCTGCTACATTCATCAAGTGACAAGTCCTACGAAAGTTTTAATGTGCTCTACTCAATACTCTACAATCACCTCATTACCTTTTGATAGCTCAAATCTTCAAAAACGCTATTTTGTTCGTTAAAATGAGATTAACAGTAACTTGAGGCAAGGTAAATACAACAAGTTAAAAAGTAATCGTAAGCGATTTACATAAAGCGCATTTCCACTTGCATTCATTTCCCATTTGTAAGATGCAACTTCTGTTAAAATCGTAAAAATCCGACCACAAATATGAAAGATAGCGTTGCACATGGGCAATCCATTTTTGACGTGCTACTTCAATTTCAGTTTATGAGAAGAATTTCATTTAAATGCTTTTCTAAATAAGAAAGTTGGAACTGCGCATGCGCAAACCTAAATTTTGAAAGTAATGTTAGATTTTCCTTTGTTCCAAGCGTCTAAGTATCAAATTTCACTTAAATGCTTCCATAGATAAAAAAAGTTGGCACTGCGCATGCGCAAAATAAAATTTTGAAACTGGCGGTAGATTTTCCTTTATTCCAAGTGCCTATGTATCAAATTTCATTTAAATTCTTCCATAAATAAAAAAGTTGGCGCAAAACCAAATTTTGAAATTGGCGTTTGATTTTCCTTTATTCCAAGTGCCTATGTATCAAATTTCATTCAAATACTTTTATAAGTAAAAAAAAGTTTACAATTCCGTTTATAAATGGTCGAGATGCGAAAAGGGCACTGTGAATTTTGAATCGATTCGATTCAACTTTTGGCGTTGCGTATTATATGGCTAAAGCTATGCCCATATTGAATTTCATGCAATTCAGTTCATGACTAACGGAGATGTAAAAGGATCGGACATTTCTAAACAAAGTTATCGTTCACACGGGCAGATAGATGGACAGACAGACAAAGGAACAGACGGACAGACCAACAGGCAGACGACAGAGAGTAATGCAAAATTATAAACGATCTCTAGGATCGTTAATAAACGGCAAAAGTGTAAAATTATGGAATATGTAAAAAACGGTTTTTTGTTTTTTTTACAACAACTTTTTTTGTAAGCGGTACAGAAAAAATTCCTTCCTTGGTACAAGACTCGACACCATAACGAACCAAATAGCGAAAAAGTAGAACAATAGCTCTTAAGATAAAGAACTAGTAGCGTCGCAAAACGAGCGGACGGACGGACGGACAAAGTGGCCACAATAGCGCATTTTTTTTATTTTTGTGGAAATGCGCTAAAAAAATGCAATGACAGGTTTGATGTTAAGGATGTCAATTCAGATACGGCAGCAAATTTGTTTTATTAGATATTTTTACGAAGAATCCAGTGGCGTAGTCAAAAATATTTTGAACCACTGTTTCTAAGATTTGACTCCAATGTATGTATTTTTAAATGCAACACCCTATGTATTTTAATGTCAATTGTTTTTCATTCTTTTTCCTGGTTACAACCTATATATTTTTTTAAATTTTAGTCATGAAAACCTTTTTTTTTACTGTTTAATTGGAGGTTTGTTTATTGTATCCACAGTAATGAAGGCAGCTGATACCAATCGATACACATGGCTGACGGTAGAAACATGCCTATTCAAAATTTAGAAAAATACGATGTATAATTATATATACAAGGTGGTGACTTGCGTAACGCATCATAGGTATTTCAATGTAAAATTGATAAGATGCGATTATTGGCTCCCCAAATTATTTTAGAGCAAAAATGTATTAAAGTTTTTTGTAGAAAAAAATTTTTTACGCCAATCAACCGTATTAGTTTTCAATTTTTTGCGTAATAAAGACGGAAAATTGGAAAAATACAACCCCCATCTTTTTCAATAATCTGCGATGCCATGGAATTTTCTAAAACAAAAAGATATCCAGTTATCAATTAGCAGTTCGAA